CCCCAAAACCCCAAAACCCCAAAACCCCAAAACCCCAAAACCCCAAAACCCCATCTAGGATAGATCATATTGAATTAGATATGTAAATGATAAATAGGGTTTTATCTGTCATGGATGGATACGAACTCTCTGCATGTCTCTCCGACATAGAGCTGCCTTGGTCTGCCGATCTTTAGGACATCCTCACTCATCATCTCTTTCCATTGGCAAACCCATCCGATTGTTCTAGCAAGGGCGAAGATTACAGTGAACATGTTTGTAGGAATGCTTAGTTCTTGGAGGACGATTCCCGAGTAGAAGTCAACATTAGGATAGAGCTTTCTCTTGATGAAGTACTCATCTTCAAGAGCAATCTTTTCTAACTCAAGAGCAATGGAGAGCATCTCTTGGTTCCTAGTGTCCATGGTCTCGACTACTTTCTTGCACATCTTCGCCATTACTGTGGCTCTTGGGTCGAAGTTTTTGTAGACTCTGTGGCCAAAACCCATGATTCTAAATGGGTCATTTTTGTCCTTTGCTTTTTCGATGTATTTGGGAATGTTTTCAGTTTCTCCAATTTCTTGTAGCATCTCGATACAAGCTTGATTGGCACCACCATGAGCTGGGCCCCAAAGTGATGCAATTCCTGCTGAAATACAAGCGAATGGATTCGCTTTCGAAGATCCTGCGATTCTCACAGTCGATGTTGAAGCATTCTGCTCGTGATCTGCGTGAAGAAGGAGGATCTTGTCCAAGGCTTCGGTCATGACTGGCTCTATCACTGCTTCAGTGTCCATTGGATCTGAGAACATCATGTGTAAGAAGTTCTCAATGTAGGAAAGGTCTCTCCTTGGATATACCATTGGAAGTCCCATAGATGTCCTGAATGAGAAGGCAGCAAGTGTTGGGAACTTAGCAATAAGCTGGATAGCTACTCTTTCCCTCTGTTTTGGATCTTCAATGTCAAGGTCTTCATGATAGAATGATGAAAGTGCTCCAATTACACTGCACATAATGGCCATTGGGTGTGCTTTTGGGTTGAATCCCTTGAAGAAATCTTTAAGCTTTTCGTGAACAAGCATCTCATCCTTGACTCTTTCTTCAAAGTCTGATAGTTCAGCTGCTGTGGGAAGTTCTCCGTATAAAAGAAGGAAGCATGATTCGATGAAGGTACAATTAGCTGCTAAGTCTTCTATCTTATAACCTCTATATAAGAGCTGTCCTTTTCCTCCGTCGATGTAGGTGATTGCGGAAACACAACTTCCGGATGCAGTGTACCCAGGGTCAAAGGTGAACATGCCTGTTTTAGCGTACAGGTCTCTGACATCGATCATTTTAGGACCAAGAGTACCCTCAAGAATGCTAAGTTCAACTTCAGTGCCGTCTGGGAGAACAAGTTTACACTTCTCTTTGGATTCAGGAACCTTTGGAGCCAATTTCTTGTTTCTCTTATCCACTGCTTCTTTGGAAATATACATCCCAGACTCCATGCTGTTCTTCCTTTTGTGTTTTGGGTTGATAGTGAACCTCTTGATGAAGTTACCAAGAGATTGGACTTCTGTAGCCTGGAGTAGTTTTTCATCATCCAGGAAATCTTCACTCATACCTATAAAATGTGTTAAATTTGGCTCAGAAATAATTTGTTTTGCTCAGATATGCACTGTAATAAACACGGGATGCATGAGTCAGCTGAAAAGGAAGCAATTCAGGTGATCGAGGTTCACTTACGTCTTCCTTTTGTGATCTTTTCCATGTTTTACAAGTAGTTATTTTATTGAATACAATTATCTCGGTCAATTAAATAGATCCACAGTGGGGTTTTGGGGTTTTGGGGTTTTGGGG